TGGTGTTTCCAATTCATTTTCTTGTTCCTCACTAATCTGTCAGTTCTCCACTGCAACTGACAAATAAACCCACACCAGGTAAACTCAACAGAAAGTGGTCTGGGGGTCCCAATCCACCCATAAGGACTCTGCACAACAGCTGATATTATTTTTCATTCCAGATAGAGAGACATCAGTTATCTCAACAACTGCTCTTCGAAGCATGGCACATCAGAAGCAAATCACAAAGTTAGCTTTGACTTCCAGTGATGCCCTGTGAACTGCAGGAGTTTAGAAGCTGACTGAGGCACAGAAGTGGAGCCTGCTTCCTGAGCCAGCCCTGTTCAAAGTCCACATTTTAGAGGGACAAGAAACACGTGCCTATCCAATGGTTTTAGCTACTTTTTAAATATATACAAGTGATTAGAATTCATCAGCCCCTTGCTTCCCTGTTCTCCACCATGTGAGCTGTTAGAACAAAAGCTAGCTTGCACGTCCCTGATTTCACTATTATTGCCAATGCATTGACTTGTGCTAAAGTGTTATCAGTAAATACAACTACAAATTAAGCTTAACATCACACAGGCAGGGTAGAAGACAGGCTCAGCATGCATTGCTGCCCACCACACCACCAAAAACAATCAATGCATTGTTTCCTTCCCCATGAAGGAGGACAGAGAAAAGGGCTTCCATCAGCAGGCTTCCCCTCATTCCCTTACTGCTTGATGCTGTTTTGTTTCCTCACTGAGTGTTTTTCGTCTCTCTTCTGCTTGTACCCGTATCTGCTCGTTCTTCAGTTGTTCTATGGCAGCTTCATACTCCTATAGTGAGATAATGATATAATGATAACCACAAATTAGCTCAGTGCACAACCCTACAGAGAAAAGACTGTGGCAGTTATGTTCCAAACGATGCATTTGTAATCATTTCACACTTCCCTGCATACAACCCTTGTAACTCGCTAAAAATGGTGGCAATAGTGAGGGGTTACAAAGCCACCTATGGCAGAGACATTATCTGCACCTCACCTTCCAGAATCACAGGGGCTGCTCTGAAAGTAACACCTCCAGTTTTACAATGTTGGTCATAGGGCAGCAGGGGCTGAGACTTGTCACCATCATTCTGGTACATTTTGTCAGATGGCAACAGAGAGGCAGCCTGACATGGAAGTGTGTATGAAGCAACAATGTGACACTGAATTCCTCCACGAGGAACAAATGACATTCACTGACACTTGGTGACCAACCAGTGCACGTGAGCACAGTGAGGTGGCTCATTTCAGCAGTGATGACAGTGGGTCAACACCAGTGGTGCAGATTTTGATGAGCACAGCATGCAAGCTCTGGTGAAAAAACAGAGCTAATGGGGGTTGTATGGGAACTGTTGAATCAGGGTATGAAGCATTGATTGAGCACCTGGGGGAAAAGACCCTGTCAGCCCTGGGAGGGCAGGTGAAGGCAATTCAGCTGTGTGATCAGTAGGGGTGGAGCCTGGCTGCACCTCTCTGAGACCTCATTTAAGGGCTGACTGGCATGGGGAAGGATCTCTGGTTGGAGATCCTCTCTTGTGGAGTTTCCTTGCAAGCCTAGGTCTTCAGAGATAGGTGAGTACTTCCCCTTTGTAACACACTCCTATTCGTGTTAGTCCTTTTTGTTATTTCAACTCCTGTATTGCCATTCCCCCGTTAATCTTTATGATTGTAACAGTAACGGCTATGATGAAAACTAGTGCTTTGTAGCTAAGAGTCTGCTCTATCAAATGGTGTTATCATGATCTTTGTATCTCTTGCAGTCTCCATGGAAATAAACAGAAGGCATTACCTTCACAGCAACCTACGTACTTCTTTTTCAAAGGCAAGTATTGACATCTTGCTAAAGTTAAATGACAGCTGACAAGAACACAGTGCCCAGGGCAGACTGCTGGGAAATGTGGTTACAATTCACAGTCCTGGCAGCTGCTGGTACTGGGCTGCCCACTCAGCAGTACCACACGCCCTGATGTACCTTCAGCTTGGTTTGCTGCTCCAGCTGCAGGGTCTGCTCTTGCATCTGGGCCAGGCTGAGCGCATCCTTTGCATGGCCTGCGACGGATAGAGGGAAGGGGCTGTTAACATCGCGGAGCGATTCCTTCCGGCACGAACCCACCCGCTGGAGCTGAGCCCTCGGGGCCCACCCTTCTGCTCCCCCCGCGCCCTGGAGGCTGCAGCTTCGAGACATCAAGCCCCGTCTGACGCTCCCGGCCCCGATCCTTCACGCACGGGACGCGTCCAGCTCCCTCGCCGCCTTGGCCGCCCGCTCCAGGCCCGTGGGGTCGAAGTTGCTCCATTTGTCCTTGGGCGTGCTGCGATCCCCCGCCCCTCCGCCGCCTGCGGGCCCGCCGCCACCACCCGGGCCTGGCGGCAGGGTCAGCCCGGTCCCGCCCTGCCCCGCGTCGCCGCCGCCGCCCGCCGGGGTCGAGCCGCGGTTGATGCCGAAGAGCCAGGACATGGCGCCGCCCCGCCGCCGGCTGCACCGCGGGACCCACGCCGCGCTGAGCCACGCGCGCCGCCTCCGATTGGGCCGGGCGCAGGCGCCAGGGTGACGTCACGCGTCGAACACCAATCAGCGTTAAGCCGGAAGGATGAGAGGAAGGTAGGCCGGGATGGGCAGCGGGGAGGGACAAACTTTATTGAGACGCGCTCTGCCGTAGCAACGGAAGTGTTGTTGTGTTGCTAAGGGAGCGGGCCCAAAATGGCGGCCGGGAGCGCAACGGCGTGTAATAGCGCTGTGAATGTTTCTGAGGCCGTTACCTCGTACAGCCTTCTGGGTTTGCTGTGCCTTCTGGGTTTGCTGCTGGAGGCAGCCCTGTGTCCTTCAAGCACTGCTGCTGAGGAGCAGGAGGAGGAACTCGTGTTTGTGGCTGGTATAGAAGTATGCTTTGCAAAAGCTGTCCCTAATCTCACTGTTTGTAGTGTGGAGGAACTCGAAGGAGTCAAAGGGGGGAAGAGGAAAAAGTGAGGCAATGAGCTTTATTGAGGCTGATGTCTTTCTGGCTATGTATTTGATTTTTTCAAGGTTGGGAATATAAACCAGACTGTGAAGTCGTGGGGAAAAATGCTTATTTTTAACCACTTAAAATCGAGGTGAATTCCAGCTTATCATTCCCCTAAACTGATTTGTCTTTACTGCCCCCAAGAACAAAGGAGTCATTCAGTAGCTCTTGTATTTTTAATTGACTGTCTTCAAAAGGGTGCATTACATCTGGGGGGGAGGTCTTAATGCAGTAGTAAGCTATGCAGGGAGTTGTACTAAACAGTCTCTATCCTACAGCAAGAACGAACAAGATACTTTATTGCATGAGAGATTCCAGAGGCTTTATCTTCCCCTCAGCACAGAGCCTCCATTAAGATTAATCAGTCACACATACACATTCCATAGGAGAACACAAATCATATGGAATCTTCTTATCGAGTTAATGAATGACTCACCTCCCTCCCATCCCTTCCTCCTGTGTGAGCAGCCCAAGGCAAATGTCCCACAAACCCGCACATGTTGAGTTCCACGCTCAGCACTCCAGGTCAGAGACAAAGTTCCTCTCAGCTCCAGAAGGAATTGTTTGAAGGAGTCCATAAGCAGAGCTGTGGAGGGTTTGTGTGATGGACTGTCAGTGGATGGAGGCTCTCCAAGCACAGCTTTAAGAAAATGAATCTTTCATATGCAGACCAAACAAGCAACATATTTAAAACAGAGCAAGCATTAGTGAGGTGAAGTGTTCCCACTGATGCTGGTTTCAGTTACCAGAGATGTAGTTGTTTCTTTATAGCCATAAGTGCCAAACTTTGGAACTGGGCTTTTCATGTGGTTTTGTCACTAGCTGCTAGAATTGTCTTATTTTTCAACTCCCTTTTCTGAAGAGTAGCATAGTGACAGCCAATTCAAGCATGAAGCCAGAGGGGAAGAACCAGATTTACTCATCTCCTGGAAAAAATAATAGTTCTTAAAATGAGCTGAAGCTTAGCACAGGGTAGGAGCCCAGGACAAGGAGTCTTAAAAAAAAATATATTTTAAGAGTGCAAAGGATAGAGCCAGGAATGATAGTGCTGAAGTCTGATGTCCCCTAATTAGCCATAGAACATGCTAATTAATCTCAATATAGCTGCTGTAGGACGCATATCTGAATTGCTGCAACTGATTGCAGGTATGCTGCAGTCATTTGGTGGTCACAATCCAGGCAGCACTGTGCTGTTGTGTTGTTTGAAGGTATGTTGAATGAGAGACCAAAATAACTGCTTTGTATGGCCATGCAGTCTGGCCTTTCTTGACTTGCTGCTGCTCCTTGGGCTCAGCTAAGGGCTGAGAACAGTGTAACCTGCTGGGGGAGCAAAGTTCCAAGTTTCCGAGTTTTCTGCTCTCTCAGACTGCTATTAAATCCCAAAGCAAATGAGTTGGGGGAGCTGGATCCTTCAGAGTCCATCTGGGATCTGTGTGTCACTGCAGCAAATGAATTTAACACCGTTACCAGTGTTGATAAAACTCAGGAATTCAGCAGGCAGACATGAACAAACTTCTCATAGTGCACCCAGCAACACTGCCCTGGGCTGGCACTGCTTGTTCCTCTCCTCAGAGTTCACCAACAAAGTTTGCCATAAATCACCCTTCCCCCCCAGGAAAACTAGATTATTCATTTACTGCAAAATGTCTTTTACAACGTGTCTCCATGTCCAGGCCAAAGACCAAATGGGTATAACTTCTTTTCTTTTCAGAAGTCCTAGAGCCTTTGACCAGGTTTCCTCTGTGTACTGTATGTTCTCTGTACTTGTTATTCTTTCTCCTACTGCTTTCACCTTCCATCCCTGAGATGGTATACTTTGGGGATGCCTATTTTGAAAAATGTATTAAATACACTGGATGAGTTGAAGGTAAGCTGTTTGTCAGTGTCAGTGGCTGTTGACAGCTTGCAATCTTTCTCTGAGTGCAGTGCCCAGAACAAAAGGCCAGTGCAGTAAACAGCTGCATCCTGAACATGCTCACAGGCTGCAAAAATACAACTGTATCAACATTTAATAAATAGAGTACAGGAAATAAGCAAGCAATAGTGAGGATTCATCAGTTGCCTTTTGTTTGTTGTTTGTCAGGCAGGTTTATACAAGAGAGGGTACAGATTTGGCATCTAGCAGTGGGATTGTCAGCTCCATCCAGCTGAACCCCATCTTCAAGCTTTGCAAGAACTTGACTGAGGATGGCCCTCAGGCTTTGCAACCAGGACAGCTCAACAGACAGTGCAGGCTGGGACATGGTCTGTGAGCTTCCTGATTTCCTCTGTAGGTCCCTCCGTTTCATCCAAACCTTTGTTCCAAGCAAGATCTCCTGCTCTGTGGGGGATCAGTTCATGCTCAGGTCTGTCATGCCCTCTGTCTGTGCTTGTACCCTGGGGCTTCTGTAGCTGGGAAGAACACAAAAAGCATGATGTCAGCTTTGTTTACCCGTTCTCCAAATCAGACTGAGTCATAGATCTGCTGACTCTGTGGTCATCATTGCCATCACTCTGGCCTCTTGGCGGGAAGAAGGCTGTGCTTCTGCTCTGTCACACAGCTGCTTCTTATCTCTTATTTCAGCCTATTGAGAATCCCTTTGTGTTTCATTATAGTAAGTGGCTTCTGGGTAATGCAAGGAGGAAAGCAGATGTCATTGCCTTGGTAGCTGTGTTCAGTAGTTAGCTTGTCTCTCCCTTGTTGAAAGCCAGCTTTCATCAGCCTCCCCCCATCCTTTGTCATCCCAAATCACCACCAAAACCCCTGCATGCTTTTCCTCCTGCCTGTAACCGTAGTGCCACTAGGAGGAGCATTGCTCTTAAAAAAGAGGAGAAGAAAAGAAGAGCCAAGCTTAGGGCAATGTCCTTGGAGTGGTGGTAGCTGTGATGAAGCCCTGTTGACGAGCTGGCTGATGAGCACAGTATTTCAGCACAGCTCTGCAGGATCTCCAGCACCCACGTTCCCTTCAGGCCCAGGGTCTTCCCTTGTGCCCTGACTCACCTGGCTGCATGTGCACCATGCGGCACAGCCCCTTGCCCGGCTGATCCTTGTACATGGACTTGACACACACTTTGTTTGTGGTGCCTGGGGCCATGTCTGTGAGGAGCACGCTGTGGATTTGTGGTGACACACTGATGAGTGATGAAGGGCCGGTTTGCCGCCGGCACCTGACTCGGTAGCCAAGGACCTTCCCATCTGCAGCATCCCATGAAGCCTTCAGGGTGTTGGAGCCCAAGTCTTCAAAGCGAAGGTGCCTCACTTTGGAGCCCTCTAGAGAAAGGAGAAGATCCTTGTAACTGTGGGCCTTCGCATGAAGCAGTTGTTGTAGTCTCATAGCAGCTCAGCCATATGCAGCCCATAAGAGCAGTCATACAGTGTGCGGCCAATTTGCTTTCAGTCATAAAATTACAGAACCAATTAAGGTTGGAAAAGACCTCTAAGATCTCCGAGCCCAACCCACCCCACCATGCCCACTGACCGTGTCCCTCAGTGCCACGTGTCTATGGCTCTTGAGCACCCCTGGGGACAGTGACTCCCCACCATTTCCTAACATCCAATCTGCCCCTCCCGTGGTGCAACTTGAGGCCATTACCTTGAGCCCTAGGCTTTATGTATCTGCAACACCCTGATAGCATATCACGTGCTGCTCACCAGAAGCTGCAGTTCTCCTCCTCTCATCCAACCCCAGGAATCAGATTGTTATCAGGCCTCACCCAAAGGCAGATCTGTGCCCACACCATTCCCTATCAGCACAGTGCTCACCTTCCTGAGTGCATGCTTTGGCTGACAGCGATTTCTCCTTTCCTGAACTGTAGATCGCAGTCACTGTCACCAGATAGGTGGTGTTGGGTGCCAGATTCTCCACAACAGTGCTGTTGTGGGTGCCATCCACCTCCAGCAGCTGCGCTGAGTCCCCACGTAGTGGCCCATACAGGACCTGGTAGCTAGTCACACTGTCTGGTGTAGGTGCCCAGCTGACCTGGAAGCTGTGCGGCCTGGAGTCTGCGATGACAATCTGAGCTGGACTGATTTCCTCTGAAAGAAGCATGGAAAGATGGGAATGAGCATGCAGTTCATGGCATCAGGATGCTCTCAGAGGAGCACGATGGACCTGGCTTCCAGGAGGTGGAAGGTTTAGAAAAGCTGGCTGTGCTCAAGTGCTGCCCCAATCCCTCCCCTCACAAAGGATGCCCCAGTGGTGTGCACCCCTGCCTGCAGAAGCACGTGACCTTCTCTAGCTGCACCTACAGCTCTTGCCTTCTCCCAGGGCTCTGCTTTCTGCCATATCCAATGATTTTAATGTTGGAAGGGCATCTTCTGACCCTGTACTAGGCAGTGCACAACTTGTTTCTAGGAGAAGATCTGCCTGTATCATGTCAGCAAAAAGATGCCTTCCCCTTGCTTTGTTCTGGCTTGACTGCAACCATCTGCCTCCACCCATCAGACCAGGCAGCATGCAGTACAGACTGTCCTGTCTTCCTCTCTATCTGGGAGGCTCAGCATGGCAGAACTTTCCTTGCATCATGGTTATGCACACTTTACCTGCCAGGGTGGTAACCCTTATTGTCTGGGGAGGGAAGTAGTGGACGTTGGATTCAGGAACGAGTGCCACCTCATATGTAGTTTCTGGAGCAAGATTGCTCAGCGTGAGGCTGGTGTGAGCCCCAGACACCTGCACTGTCCTCTTGGCTGCCAGGTCATCTGTTGGGGCATACTGCAGGGTGTAGTAACCGGTTTCTTGAGAGAGGAGTTGGGGCCACATCAGACGGAAGCTACTTGATGTGATATCCACCACATGGAGCCGATTTGCTTGGATAACATCTGAGAGAGAGGCAAGAGCAAGAAATCAGTGATGGCAGTTGTACACAGGACATGGAACGCCAGAAATGCAGGCCCTTTGGATGGGAGATGTGACCTTTGGGGACACTGGATGACAGCTGAAGTCACCGAGGTGCAGCTGAGCTCCTCGATAACAATTCAGTGAGCCAAAAGTTCACCAGTACAAACCTGAATTCTCAAAGCCACGCACAAAGCTTCAAAAATGACAGGCACCTGGAAACTTTGCTTCTAACTGGTGGCATCTAGAGATAGAAAGAAGCTCTGCTATGCCTGCACCAAGCAAGGCAGTCTCATTTTTTTTTTCTCTGAGCTGTTGCTTGGCTGTGGGGTGGGCAGCAGCACTGCTCCCTCCCAGCACCATGGACATGGGACTCTGCAGCCTCCTGTGAGCCCCACGGCTGGAACACAGAGGAGCCAGGAACAGAGGAAAGGTCCTGGTGCCAAAAGCTCTGCCAAAAGCTCAGGGAACAGAAATGAATGAGCTTGGCTGCAGGGCATGGGGATACTGCAAATAAATAGGGAAGATTGAAGTGATGGGATGCAGCACCCAAGGATGAGCTACGGCACGCCCAAGCACTTCTGCTGCCACACGACAGCTGTTCTGACCATTGAAGAAGGAGATAAATCCAAGAAAGTAGATGCTCATTGATTTCCTTCTCAGTCCCTCCGTGCTGGCAGGGGAATCAATGTGTAACCTCTGGCGCTGGACCAGGCAGTGCCCTCCTGGGAGCACTTGGACACAGCTCAGACACACTTGCCTCCTGCCTGCGGGTGACTCACACAGGATGAGGGTGGACACAGAAGCACCATTTCACAGCAGTGAGCTTGTTGGCATCCCGTGAATGCTGGCGAGGTCAAGATTGGACTTGCAGGAGTGCTGCTGCTTTTATGATGTGCGCAAGAAATGCAGTCAGGCAGCAGATGAACCCCTTCTGCCCTGGATCCATAATCCATTCTGCAGGAGATGCAGTGGGGTCTTGGGACAAAGCACCTCTGCTTCATGGCTTTACTTCCCTGCTTTCATGTGGATGGGGCAATATTTCCAATTCTGGAAAGGGAAACATGCTTCTCCATCACCAGAATGGACATTCAAGGTTTGGGATCATTTTCCTGGTCACTTGCTCACGGTCAGTGCTACGTGAGGGTGTTGGAGGAAAGGGAACCAAGGCTCATTGCTCTGCAGCGCTGATACATTCTCCTTTCATGACACTTTTATACCATGTGGATTCAGGGTGCACTAGAAGCTGAAACAGCTACTTGAAAGGAAACATTTGGGATCTGCATGGCACCTGTAAGAGCAGAAGGTCCCATACTCAGATAGGACAGAGAAGAGAACGTGGCCCCTGGGTGTGATTTGCTAAATGGCAGTGGCTGAAAATAGGAAGAAACTGCTACACAGAGAGGATTCTGCACTAAGGGGTTACTTGGACACACCACAGACAGCTCTGTCTGACTCACACAGCAGAAACCAAGTGGGGAATTAAAACAGGACTTCCAACAGTGACAAAGCCTCCAGAAAATGAAAGTCTGCAAAGTCCCAGTTGCTTGCTCAGCTTTCCAAACAGATCCGAAGGCTGAGGCTGAACCCCTGCTTTGTGATCATGGATGCACGCTGCAGTGGCACAGAGGACATGCACTGTGCAGCTCAGCATGCAGCGTTCCTGGCACTGGTTTCCCAGCACTTATCCCTTGTCCCTCATTCTGGCTTTGGCTCTCTCCAGACTCTTTCCTAGGTGCTTTAAAACACTGGGCTGTTAGAAAGCAGCTCTCTGCCTGTTCTTGCTGTCTGTGCACTCACAGACGTGCCAGCAGCTGCCTTGCCGAGCCCAACAAACTGGGCTGGGAATTTCTTCCAAGGGCTGCACTGGCCAAGCTGCTCTGTAGATCTGGCAGATGCAGAACACGTTACAACAGGGGATTTGTGGAACAAAAACATTCCTGTGCTGAAATCTTAATTCTGAGAGCAACAACCATCATCGCTAATTGCTCGTGGTAAGAGAGCACTGACTGCCAGCTACTTGTAGGCAGGGGATGGGTGCCAGCACCCTGTCTGAGCCATAAAAGTGTGCAGGCAGAGCTTAGGGGCCAAAATCTACCCAGGCACACAGCTTTCGTACGTGCAGTGTGTTAACACGCTCCTGTGGAGCAGGAGATCTGTTGGTTTTAGGGGATTTTCAAGCTTGTCCTGCTGCAAGCTCCCCGAGACCGCAGCCCAGCCCCAGCATACCTAGCATAGCATCTCGCAGCTCCTTGGTGATGATGGGGAGGTCATCCACGTCCACAAAGTGCAGGTGCTTCTCAGGAGGCTGGCTGGCAGCAGCAGACAACTCCAGGTAATTCCCCCGCCCTGTGCTGACAATGAAGACTGTCACTCCCATGTCCTTCAGGAGCTGCATGGGCTCAGAGATGTCATCACTGGAGAACCCATCCGTCACCCAAACCAGAACCTTGGGCACATCTGGCCGGGCACCAGCATCATTGCTGAAGAGCTTCTCCTTGGCAAAGGAGAGCGCTTTGCCTGTGTTGGTGTCACCCATGAGCTGTCGGGTGTCCCGGATGGCTTGCTGCACCGTCCCACGGGACAGGTACCGGTCAAAGGGGAACTCCATGGTGGGGGTCGTGCTGATGTGGATGATGCTGGTCTGGACATCGTTGGGGCCAAAGGTGAAAGGCCGCACGAGGTCCCACATGAATTCCTTGACCTTGGAGAATTCATAGTAGGAGACGCTGCCAGAGCTGTCCAGTAAGAAGAGGATGTCTCCCTCTGAATTGGAAATGGAGGGCTGAGGACCTAACAGGGGAAGAGAGAGGGGTGGTTAGAGAAATGGTGTAGAAATTGGGAAGACTTGGTTTTCTTGGGCCAGACCTCAGAATGCTGATCTCAGAAGCTTGCTGGGGAGAGACTTCAGCAGGCACCCTTTTTAGTGCTGTTACTTACGGAGAGAGGGCTCCTGGGCTTTGTACTCAGCCCTGCTAGCAGCTGCCTAGGAGCTTCTCATCCCATCACCCTGTGTTTGATGGCTTTGTTTGGACCTTGTGGTGTGGACAGCTGGGCTTTGCTGAATCCTCTGAGGTGCACTGAAGTTAGGGTATGCCCAAGGCTGTTCACTACCAACATACACAACAACAACAACAAAAAAACTATTGGGAACAAAAACTGGATCCTAAACCCTCTGAGATCCAAAAACCTGCATTGGGTTAGACTCTCCAGGAGCAGGGAGTGGCATTCCCCCTGCCTACAAATGAAATTGTTTTACAGTCCTATTTCAAGTTCAGGATCAGGAGTCAGAGTAGCTCCAAAAGCAAACCCACATGCCCTGGGTCCATCTCTTGCTGCTGAGAAAATGCCTTGGAGCTGTCTCAGTTTGCACTGACACCTCTTGTTAGTCAGCATCAGGCTGTTCCTGGGCACTTTCTTCTCACAGATGAAAGAGAACATGTTCCTGGTGCTGGGAACATGGATTTGGAATCTTTTTAGCCACCATTTTGCTTTCTGGCAGCTTTTGAGGTGTAAAAAGGGAGAAAAAAAACACAGAGCAGCGGTTGGTGCCAGCCTGCTTGGGCTGCTTTGACAGGGAAGGAATGGGGAACGCAGGGTTGCCAAGCGATGTGGGACCTGGGGCACTGATGGGCTCGGTGCAGCACACAATGGCTGAGTGCTGGAGCCGCGTGTGGGAGGCAAACCACAAGGCAGCAGACAGCTGAATGGAAAGGCCCCTGCAAAATTAATTGCTCGGAGGAGATGGCTCCTGCAATGAGCTCTGCCCCTGCAGAAGGCACGCCAAGGCAGGCCCTGAGACAAAGGAGAGGAGCAGGGTCACAGAGCCCCTCCTGGGGACTGCTCCCAGATGAAGACGCAAATGGCAAACCCAGGGCAGGAGTCAAGGGGTGCAGGGCACCATGTATGTGTCCTCAGGGTGGCACCTGGCACGGATCAGATGTGCAGTGGTAACTTGAGCGCTGGCTCTGTCCCACGGCAAGAACATTGGTGTGAAAAACACGCTGCAATGAGCTTCTGTGCTGCTCCAGAGAGCAGAGCCACCCAGGGCCAGGCCCTTCACCTCCCTGCTGCATTACGTGCTGGCTGAGAGCACAGAGCCATACCAAACCCATGACGAAACAACTGGAGAAATGGAGAACGATGTTGCTCAGAGGTGACTAAGCCAGAGATGCCAAGAGGAGGCAGGAGCAGCTCACGTCCAGCTCTGCATGACCCAGCACGACTCAACCCTGTGCAGACACACACACCCAGCAGCCTGGCACTCAGACCTGAGCAGAAAACACAAGTGCAGCCTGGCCAGCTTTCTGCTTGCCCACGGCGACGTGCAGCTCCAGCAGCACGTCACACAGCACAGCCAAATCCATCACCTCCAGGTCCTTCGAGCTGCTGCTTCACCAAGGCATGCAACACCGGTTCTGCTGTGAGCTCCTGGCTGCGTGGAGCTGCAGCTTCTTGCTCTCCCCTCCACTGGAAGAGCATAAAGCCACTGACTTGGCTGCCAAGCTGTAGTGAGGGATTTTGGCAACACAGTGGCCTCTTCCCAGCAAAAAATCATCTATTTTAATTTCTCCCCTCTGTTCCCCATTATTTTGAGTGGCGGTGTTTGTTTCCTGAGTGTTGCAACAAGCAGCTGTGAAAGCTCCTGGTGCTGGCAAAGGACATTGCTCCCCCATGGCAAACAAGGTCACGCATGGAGAAACTTGGAGGTTTCCCCTGGGGAGCAGACAGTAAACTCCTGCCCTGCCAAAGTGAACTCCCCAGGGAAACAGGGTGGCAAGACGCATGGACACCTGCTAGGGGAGAAGGATGCTGATGGAGAGCCAAGAGCCAAACCCTTGTAATGGTGCTGCAGTGTGCCCTGCAGCTGTGGGCACAGCGAGGCGGGCGGAACGTCAGCATCCTGCCGACATGGCTTTCACCCATCACTGCTGGGAATAGCTGCGTGGGTTAGGAAGCACTGCAGGAAGGGCTGCAGTTTGACACCACCACGTCCTGCCTGGGGGGCAGAACGAACAGCCCAGCAGCCAATGGTCACCAACAGCAAATTGTGCTGGTGGGCAGTTTGGTATTTCAGAGCTATCTGAAGGGGTTGTGATTCGTCATAATTCAGTTCCGTCACTCAGCCCTGTGTAAGATGGGAATGAAGTCCTCTCTGTGAGACTTTTCTGCTAGAGAGGATTCACAAAAACATCCTCACTGCAGTGATGCTGATTGTGGCTGGGCACACCACCATCCTTCCCTTCAGGCTTTCTGTTCCTTCATCTTTCTTGCTGTTCTTTGTCCTCCATCCAACACAAACATCTCCCCTATGCCAGAGGTGGGGCTTTGGGGATTTGTTACCAGCAAATCCCTGCCTTACGCAAGCAGCTGCTGTTTTCGAACTGTTTTCTCTCTTTACAGCAAAAAAAGGATTGGCTGCTTGGCCAGATGCCAAGCAGAGATTTCTCACTTTTGTGGGGCTCTTGGAGAAGGGGCGTCCACAAAATCTCCTGCGCCATCAGCCCTGAGCACAGCCGGAGCCCGGGGAACAAGTGTTGGCAGCATCCTTTTGTCCCCCTCGGGCTGATACTTGTCGATAGGCGTGGATCAGTCGCGCAAAGAAGGGTTTAGAAGGGATCAGTTGAGAGCAAAATGTCACCATGGAGTCCCAGCGCTGCTTATTTACACACTTGGCTTTTCCAAGAGGAAAATAGCCAGGCGTGTGCGTCCTGCTCTGAGATGCTGACAGGAGACATCCGCTCCAAGAGCTCCCCTCAGCTGGGACCTGAACACGTGCCATGTGCCTCATTTACGTGGGACTCAGTGCTCCTAGAGCAAAAAGGGTTCCATAGCCAGAAAAAATCGTGTCCTGTCTCGGTTAACTATGCCTTAAATTCCGCATTTGTCTTCCCTTGTGCTATTTGGCCACGCAAAGAAAATTTTTCTGCTGAGCTGAGTGTGCAGGGTGAGCAGCATTGTCTGCACCTTTCCTGGGGGCTCTCCGTTCAGCCCCGCTGGCTGCCCAGCAGCTCCCTGTCTTTGTCCCCTGAAGTTAATGAAGCTGCCTCCGCTCACATCCAGCCAAGACCCCAGGAAGCAGAGTTACGACCACGCATCCTCATGGCTCAATCACTTCCCCTCGCTGCATGGTGATGGCACTCCACAATGGCTCCAGACAGGAGCCCTGCCAGGCTGGCTGTTTGCTCAAGGTTGCTTTTGGGAGTGGCCGGAGGTGCCCACATAAAAGCTGCCGGGAAGCAGGCATGCTGCCCACCAGCAGGTTCTCTTCTAGTTTGCAGTTTGCAAGCCTAAAGTAAGCTGTCAGCAGTGCAACAGCATAACTGCCTCTGGGGCATGGCATGGGCAGGGACAGCAGGGACAGCCGCACAATTCCTGAGCCAGCCTCCACCTCCAGACCCTTCTCCACAGCTTGGGTCACCGATGGGCAAAATCCATTCCCTGTAATGGGATCTGAGCAACAGTCACTGTCTGCTTTGCCTGCTAGGAGCAGAATTATCCTGTCCAGGCACAACAGAACTTTATGTCCCCTTTCACACTTCTCAGGTTCAAACTCCAGGGAAAACCAGCTGCAGCCAGCAGCAGTCCCAGAGCTGTTCCTTCTTTTACTGAGCACAGGGATCCCCCCCAGTAACCATATCAGCAGTCCCTGCCCAGCTAACCAGAGAGAGACACTCATCCCCTCCTTGTCCCCCTTCCCGCTGTCGGCTCTGACACCACACCGCAGGCGTTCTCCCCGAGCAGCAGCCAAGAGAAAGCATTGCAAGGAGAAAACGTCAGGACTGAATTACACGAAGTTAGGCAGAGGACAACAGGACAGGTACAGTATCAATCACTGCTTTCACTTCTCTTAACCAGGGTGCCCAGTACACGGGGAGCAGTGACTATCAGGACTCTCCCTCTTACTGCACTAAACTCTGCCAGCTTCTTTTCCAAGGGAGGTAAGTTTTCTTTCTAATATAGCAATTTTAGAAACATTTTCCTTCACTTTGCCCTTACGCCAGCAGAATAACACCCCAGGGGAACGGCAGAGCTATGGCAGCAGTGTGACTTCAGCTCAGCTCCTGTCCCAGCACGGTGGGGACCCCGCAGCACTCACCTTGGCCAGGTGCTTCCTGCCCCGCAGCGAGCTGCAGCCACACACCAAGCACAAGAGCTGCCTCGGCCAGCATAGCAAAGTCCAGTCCTGGGCAAACTACCTTAAATCCAAAAGCTCGGCTCTGTGAAGGCAGTCGAAAGGCTCAGCATCAGTCATATTACATGCAGGGATCCAGCAGAGCCCAGGGCAGCTTGTGAGCTGCTCATGCCTTGAGATCCGACAGTTCTTTCTTTCGCTGCGCCGTGGCACAATCTCTGAGTGCTGGAGGCAATTTTCCTTCCTCTCCACGTCCCCCTTGGCTGGGGATGGGGTGCGCTGCCCTCCAGAGCTCTGCTTGCTGCTGGGGTTTGCTCGCAGGCAGCGGGCGTGCAGCTGGGCTGGGGTGAAAAATCTGTCCCGATAGATGAAACGCCGGCCCTGCGAGACACTGGCAGCAGTCCAGCTATGAGGGAAAAAAAAAAAAAGAGAGAGAGAGAGAAGCTCAGTGAAATCCAAAGCTCTCTCTGCTCTGGAATGAACTAGAAGAAGGGAAAACGCGTATAGAGAGGAAAGAAAAAGTCGATGGGCCGGTGAGCGCGCCCTGCTCAGGGAATATTAGCTAATCCTTTGGGAGGAGGCTGTGGAGCACTCCTAAGGTCCTAGCGCTGCCTGCGCAGCTCCAGCCCTGCCCCACGCGGGGCTGCTCCTGCACAGCCCTCTGCCCACCTCCCTCTGGCCTCAGCTTCAGGCTGCGAGTCAAAGGGGGCTAAAGATAAGCCCATGACAAACGTCTTGCTGGATGGAGGGGCCAAAGAACTTGGCTGAGGGCATGTGCCAAATAAAACTCCACCAGCTTTTCCCCTCTTGGGTACACAGCCTCTCTATATTCCCCCTAGATGGAGGAGTTTCTTGCCAATCAACAAAATCCCTGAGCAAACCCCACTTCCCTCCTCACTTCTGCTCTGCCACCCATGTCTCTGCCTTTGGCTCCTGCTCAGCAGGTGGAGGTGACAATATTCCCCTTCTCTTTTGTCCCCACTTTCTGTTCATCTTGGTTATGTAGATCTGTTTGGGAGCAGAGAGTTTGTCGTTTAACATGACATCCTCATCTCAGCTACAGCCCTCAGGGGTTACTGCTGCATGGAGCCCTGAGCTGCTCCTCTCTTGAATTATTACCACCCTACAGGGGATAGCAGTTTTCAAGGAAATAAAGCAAAATACAACGTTCAGCTAAGCCATACAGCCATCAGTGGAAAAAACATACTGCATATGGTGCTTCTGGACAGATCCAAGACATTACAAGCAGAGAAAAACTGGAAAATTACACTCAATTATGAAGAGACTCATCAGTGTCATCTCCTCTGACAGGGGGAGCGACCAACCAGACAGGATGAAAAGTAGCAGAGGAGGAAAGTTTAGAAGCCGGCGGGATTTCTTAAACCGGTGAGCCATATTTCCCCCAATTTGATTTTGTCTCTCCTGGGAACTATAAAGAAACGAAGAGGAATTATGAGCCAAGGAGCTGTGCAGGCTGGAAAAAATCATATCCAAACTCATCAAGCAAATGGAAAGTCAGGACAGGCCCAAGAAATCAGATCCAACTGGGAAGCCCCGGAGCCAGCCAGCTAGTTAAACGTCATGGGCACTTGTTTGTGCTTCTCCTCCCTGCCCCACCTCAAGCAGACGGGCTGGGTTTGGTACCCAGCTGCACCACGAAGGAACGTTGTAGTATCAGGTTGTATGATACCCCATACCCGTGTGTCATGAACTTAGGGGAATGACTCAGCCTCACCCACTGATTCATGCGGGCTAGAATAATCTTCATCCCAGGGACACAGAAGAATTTGATACCCCTACTCTCATCCTCCACCATGTGACCTGACAGATCATAGGATGGCCTGAGTTGGAAGGGACCTTAAAACCCATTCCTTTCCCCCTGCTGTGGGCAGGGTTGCTGGAATAGGCAGCACAGGACCCATCCAGCATGGCCTCAGGCACCTCCGTGGATGGGGCACACGCACTGCTCTGGGGTGCATCCATCTGGGGTGCAGTGCTCCAGCTGGGGCTTCACAAGGGCACGTAAATACCCTTGTCATGCTTGTCCAAGTCATTTTGGAAGGCATAACTTCCTTCATTAAAAATAAATATCAGCCCAAGCATCATCTCTGCTAGAGCACCTGTAAGTCCTTGTGGTTAGCAGGGACAGGTGCTGCAGAGGTGCAGGTGCTCCAGCACAAGAGCTGTCTGGTTTTGGCCTCTTTTGAGGATCAGTCTTTCAGGGAAAGATTGCACAAAGCAAGTCATGCCAAGAGCAGTGCTCCCACAGTTCCTCAGCTTCTCCATCTGGTCTGGATCCTACCATCACCAAGGCTCCTCTGGGCACCTTGTGCTATCAGCTGTCTCTCTAATTCTCAAATCCACATAGATCCATTAATGCTGGTCCACATTCAGCTTGATTGCTGATGCTCATGGATGAGCACTCAGAACCCCTCGACTGGAGTTGGTGGGAATGCAGAGATGATTTCCTTGCATTACTCACTTCCCAAGAACACTTCCCATAGAAGAGTTGCTCATAATTTCCTTTTTTGTTTGTCAGTTTTTCAGTGTCAATGCCATTCAGTCTCACACCCTGCAGCCTGGAGAGATTTCAACCTTTATTTCCTTAGAAGTCCTGCTAGGATAAGAGGAAGCAGGAAAAAGCAGCCTGGAAAATCATTAGATCTCACACAATTTAACTTTATTTTTAAACTTTACTGTAAAGGACAGCTCTTGTTTCCAGTAAGGCTGGTGCTTGCGTATGCTGATGCACGCTGTGTTCTGGAGCCAGCAGCATCACCCTATTTTGATCCCACACAACTGTGGCCAGAATGGGGCTGCAGGGCTCAGCTTATGACCTCCATCTGTCATAACTCAACCAAAACTTACCGAGGGCAATTGTGATCATCTTCCTACCATGCCCAAGTGATAATCCAGCTCAGGAGTAGTTAAAACTTGTTAAAAAAAAAAAAAGAAGTACCACCACCAACCAATCCCTACATTTTGATTGTCCACTCTTCCTTGTTTCAAGGGTTGATCGTAAATCACAGGGTCTGATTTGCATGGACAGTGTATGGCAGAGCTCTGCCCGTGGGGAGTTTGGTGGTGGCTGCAGCTGCCAGGATAGATGCAATATCCTCTGAGGCAAATCACAGCTGGAACAAACAGGCGGTTTGGAACACAGCCTTTCTTCAGCTCTACATAAAAGCTTTTGTTTGGAGGGAGCTATCTATATATGGGAATTTGGAAATTCCCCATTTGGAAAGGAAGTGAAGCAGCCCTGTAAGCAATGGGAGAAGGATGGTATGAACTTTCCTGGACCCGCAGGTGGGCAGCAGCCAGGCTGGGCAGTGGGGGCTCAGGCTGTGTCACAGTGGAGGTCTCAGCAACTCCAGGCTACGTTTGTGCAGGGCATGAATTGGGAACTCTGCCGACCCCAGCAGTGCCACTGCAGCAGGATCGGTCCCTGTGCTGGCAGGTCTCAGTTAACACTGTGCCGTGCCATCTGCAGGTTCAAGTCAGCTCTTATTTCTGTTATGACTTTGGAGACAAACTACAAAAATAGTTCACTCCCGGCACTCCCCAGCTGTATTTATCCGCAGAAGTTACCCAGTGACTCCAGCAACTGTACAGCGAGACAAGATCTGGCTGATGCTTCTTCCCAAGCATCCTGAATCACAGAACTGCAGTCACTTCTAGGGTGAAGCACGGCACATTTTCAACCACATGCAGCAACATCACACCAAAACTTTGGAGATGGGAGAAAGTCACAGAAGGGTTTTACACTAAGAGAAAGCAGCTGCTCACATTGGAGCCATTGGAAAGGCCTCCTCCCATCACAAGCACTGCAGAAGTGGCTGTGGACCTTCATGCAGCACCCAGAAGGAAGGAAACGCCGTGTGGGCCTTGCTGCTATTTCCCTCCAGCACCGTGTCACACCAGGACACAGTGTCCTAGTTTTCTGTTTCAGCTTCTTATGTGGAATGAAGGAATTTGTGGAACGAGCACACAGGTAGACACAGGCACATCACATGGCTAATGCAGAGAGGGACAATGTTCTCTGAGCAATTTTCTGTTCATGCCAGGGATCTGAGCCCCTCTGGCTCCTGCATGCCATGCGGTGCACTCCTCGGGCTGTTTGAGGCCCAGATAAGGCATGCTTGGATGGTTTGGAAGGAGTCAGCTTGTCACAAAGTACCAGCCCTCAGCTGGATCCCAGACACCAAAGTGACTGCACTGAACCTGTGGGTCATCACAGTGAACTAAAAGCCAGAACAAAAGGAGGCACTAATTGATGCCATCATTCATTTACCCCGAGAAAGAGGAGAAGTTAGGTCAAATGGAGAGGGGAAGGAGTGCTGTGCTGAGCAGTGGCCAGAGTCATGGCCAAGCTCAGGGTGCCTCTGCTGGGACAGATCTCAATGCACTCCATCCTTTCCCACTTTCCTAAGGGCATTTCCACCTGGAATTTGTTTCTGCAGTACTTCAGGCAGACACAGCATGCTGCTAACTCCTTGCAGTGCCTCTTAGGAAGCATGTCACCAATGACTGAGGAGGGATGTGTTGGTTTGAGTCATACACATTTCGGAAGCAGAGACAGCAATTCTGGGCCTTTTCACTTGTAAAGGGCAACTTTTATAACTTTCCAATGAGATGACAGTGGCTGACAACACTGGAACATGTGAATAACCCACTGAATGACATCTTGCTGATGAGGACAGCTTGGCTGACAGCAGGCTCCATGGTAGGTGGAGGAGCCGACCCCAGTCAGTAACTGAGCACCCACCAGCAGCAAGGAACCCACAGGTCAGAGCACAGATGCTTTGGGAGTGAAGGAAAGCCACATGCACAAGCAAAGCACAAGGAGTTCATTCACTGCTCCCATCAGAAGGCAGATGTTCAGCCTCTTCTTGGAAACTGGGGCCTCATGCAAGACATGCAGAGGTTACTTGGGAAGAGAAATGTCACAAACAAGAGTCCCCTCTTCCCTGTCCTTTCCCTGAGGGCAGCACAGTAAGGGGACCTCCCACAGTAAGGGGACCATGCAGCTGCCTTACCAGTGCTGTTTTAGTCACAAATCACAGCACCAGCTCCAGCCAACTGGGGCACACCACAGGATCTCCAAGTCCATGAGGAGCCCATGTAGGGCACAGAAGTGATGGGAGATGGCTGCTCTGCACTATTCTCCTTGCAGCTGTGCTGTGGGACCCGACCCTGTGTAGCAGCCTGGCTCTCAGAGCTGCAGCTGGGCCAGCTTTGTTTATGAGCTCACAAAATGACAACGAGTTCAACCAGCTCCTTGCTTTCGCCTCGCCTCTGCGATTTGCAGTGCTTTATATGCGTAGGAACAAGTGAGCTCATTTGCAGAGTTCCAGGAGCGGGTCAAAGAGCAACCTGATACAGAGGTGGAAAATAAGCAGGAGGGCTGGCTGCCAGAGCGTAGAGCAGAGCTGAAGCTCTTGGGCCTGACCTGAGTGTGCCAGCCCGCTCGCCATCCGAATTTAGGGCACCTCTGACCCAGCCGTTTCACCTTTTCCTTTTTAGGAGAAGTTCTACACATCATCTGTCCGACAGCTCACAGCTGGGAGCAGCTGCCTCACAGACCCATGGTAGTGAATGGGTAAAATAAGAAAAAACAGCAAAAAAAATAAAAACACTCCCACAAAAAACAGGAACAGAAGTGGCTCATTGCTCATTAAGAGGCTTCTGGATTTCTCTTGTAATGTAGGTCATGGATAGGCAGCACCTCTGGCACTGTCTCTCCCAGTTACAGAAGAGGGCCCGCTGCTGCATGCAGCAGGCTGAGCAAATGGCTGCTGGGTTATTGTGGCAATTCTTCATCCTTCACGTAGTGTATCCTCATCCTCTCCCCATGCCAGGGGTGTCAGGGCTGTCCACATGTATCAGCTTCCCAGCCAGGGGGGAGCTGGCAGCAGAGAGCTCACTGCTTCACTGCTCCAATCCTGTTCTCTATAGCCACAACATCAAAATAAGGAGAGGAAGATGCGGATGTGCAACGACTGACTTCTGGAGTCTGAGACTGTACAAGAGCTACGTTCTGCATCCCTGGCTTGCAACCACGAGGTTGTATGAGAGCATGGCAACATCGATGGAACAGCACACAGCACTCGTGCCTGGTTGCACAGACTTCACTTTGCATGTGGAGTCATCTAGGGGTCCCCAGCAGAGATCTTCCAACACTTCAGATTCCTGCCTCATTTCCTCATACATTTTTCATTGCAATTTCCCCAGCTGGACCCAGACTGGGGTCTCATTTTGCATTCCTGGAACCAGAGAAGCTCTGAAACTTGGAGCCACCTTTAAGCAGTACAGATGAGGTATGGATGCAGCTGTCTGTTTTTAATCCAAAGACTATTCTACGCAGTGGAACTCTTTCCTTATTGCTC